CTGCTGTCCCAAAGCCCTGCCTTAGCGCTCCAGATAGCCCTCCGGCTGGCTTCAGCCTCCCCGGGCGGAGCTGGCGTCACCAGGCACCGCATCCCGACTGGCTCTGACGCTGCTGGCTGGAGTGTCTTCACGTGCAGGCGCTCCTGACAGCGTGGCCTCCGGGCCCACTGTCCTCTTGGGCTTAGGCCACCGGCAGCTAGAACTGGGGCAGGAGGGGACAGCCTGTTCTTTGGGACGGGGTGTCTGCAGGAGCTGCCAGTGGCCGCTGTGGCCCTAATAGGTTCCTGCTGCCCTCGCTGGCCAGCCTCCCCCAGGGAGCCCGCCCAGTGCGAGGAAACGGTGCTGTCTGGCTCACCCGTTCCAAGCCTGGGGCTGTCCCCATGGTGGGGACACACAACGCCAGACTGCTTCTCCTGCCACGTCCTCACCCCTGCGGTCACATTTCTGTCCTCCCAGTCACCAGCCTAGAAGCTGGGGCTTGCCTGACCCCTCACCACCCCCATTCCCAGCAGCCTGAATTCCCTGAGCCCAGAACACAGCCTCACCCATGTCCCTCCGGCCCCTCTGTGCCCTCCTGTGCAGCCAGTGCCTTGGTCTGGGCCCCAAAACCCCTGCTCCAGGCACCAAAGCAACCTCTCCCTGCTCTACCCGCCCCTCGCCCTCCTCTACCTGCAAATGTGGTTACACCCGCCCCTTCACCCAAGGTGAGGTCCACTGCCCAGCCTCCCTGGGTCAAGCTCTGCCGACCTCTTGACCTCATAGCTGCCCCTGGACCCCTCTCTGTCCTGTCACACTGCACGACAGCCCTACCCTCTTCCCTGCCCATCACATGTCATGCCCACCCTCGCCCACACCAGGCGCATCTGGCTTCTCTGGCTGCCCACACTGTACCCTCTGCTCTGACCTGCTGCCTGCGACTCTCCCATCTCCCCCCTTCCCCCCTCCAGCTCCTTCCTGCTCCCCGCTCACACGCGGCCATAGCTGTGACTTCCTCCAGGAGGGCTTGTCCCACTCTCCCGGGACAGCTGCGGGGCCCCCCTTCCAGGTCCCAGAGCCCCCTGCCTCTCCCCTCACCGCCCACCACTCGCGGGCCACCCGCTCGCGTGTGGGAACTGGGTTCAGACTGTTCACTGACCCCCACAGGGCTTATCCTGAGTCGAGACGGAGCCCATCCTTAGTACACAGGTTTTTAAAAAGGAGCTAATGAGCGAATGAAGGGCGGCTTGTATTTTCCATGCGTCTCAGTGACCTCATGACCAGAGTCACACAATTAACTACGGCTTAGAGGATCCACGAGAGACCGTGGAGTGGGTGGCACTGCCACTCTAGAAGGTGGCCAGGCTGACACCTCCCGCCCCGCCTCCTGCCCACAGCTTGCAACTGCAGCGGCCACTCTGAGCAGTGCACGTTTGACCGGGAGCTCTGCCGAAGCACAGGCCATGGCGGGCGCTGCCTCCCCTGCCGAGACCACCCGGCCGGGCCCCACTGCCAGCACTGCCAGGAGGACTTCTACCGCTGGCACCTGGGGACACCCTGCCAGCCCTGTGACTGCCACCCGGCAGGTGAGTGGATACGACAGCCCTAGGCCCCCGGGCTCACCTCGCTCCCCGGGGACCGCGGCCGCCCCCCTCCCCGCCCCCCGCTGCCCTGCGCCCTTCCTCCCCCAGGCTCCCTGCGTCTCCAGTGCGATGACTCGGGCACCTGCCTTTGCAAGGCCACTGTGACGGGCTGGAAGTGTGACCGCTGCCTGCCCGGGTTCCACTCGCTCAGCGAGGGAGGCTGCAGGTGAGGGCGGCAGGGGAGCAGGTGCGGACGGCCCAGCAGGGGCTCCTGGCCGTGGACGAGGACTGCATGCCGGGAAGCGGAAGACAGGGATGTTGTTCTGACCTCCCTCTTTCCACTCCTCCATCCCATCATTCCTTTATTCCTTCCTTTATTCAGCATTCTCTTATTCTGCAGCTACCACACTCCCATCCTGAGTGAGGACTAGAGACGCCCAATCCCTGGGGAGGCAGACAGATGCGTATGAGTCGGGGTGCGAGTCCCGTGGAAGCCCAGAGGCCTCGGGGGTCGAGGACGGGCTTCCTGTAAGAGGCGCTGAGTTCTAGTGAGGGCTGAGGGGAGAGGGGGAGGGGCGGGTGTTCCAGGTGGGGAAAGAGCACATGCAAAGGCCCCCAGGCAAGGCACGGGGAAGCTTGGCGTGGACGAGCAGGGAGCGCAGGGCAGGAGGGCGTGCGAGGAAGAGGGTCCAGTGAGGCCTGGAACGCCCCAGGAGGCGCTGTGCGTGGACATGAAGCAGGGGTGGGGACGAGGCTGGAGGCCAGGGCAGAGGCTGCAGCAGGAACAGCTGGGAGACATGGTGGCCCACACCAGCTGGCCATGGAGAGGCAGAGCACTTGACCCCCAGGGTTGTGCTTTGGGCACCTGGGCAGAGGCCAGTCACAGGGAGGGGAGCATGATGCGGGAAGAGGCTGAGTCTGCAGTGCTGCTGGGGAGGTGGGCAGGGGGAAGACTGGGATCTGGACCTCGGAAGACGAGATGGTAACACGTTAACCGCTGCTTGATTGACAAAATACACAGCAAAAAAATAAAGCCATTATATATTCAGAAGCGCTTTAAAATGAACTTGGCTTTGGTTAATTCCAACAGTCTTCTCATGTATTTGAAAAGCAGTTGAAATGCATTGGGGGGTCTGGGATTCCACACAAAATAGCCAGTGGTTCTGGGCATAAAACTGACTATTCGGTGGTGGCCTGGATGCTTCCCCAGGCTCTCCCTGGCTGCTGGGCCTTTGCACATGCTATGTCTCTTACCCCAGAGCATTCTTCTCTTCCCCAATCCCTCATCTCACCCTTACCTGTGTCCAGCAAACTGCTAATTCATTCCTCAGTTCTCAGCCAAGGTACCACTCCTCCAGGAAGTCTTCCCTCCTTCTACCTGTCTCCTTGTTCCCACCCTAAGCACCTCCTCTTGTGTATGCTCTTCCACAGCGCCTATTAATGTATGATGTCTATCTGTTTGCCTGCCCATCCTCACTGGACTATAGGCTCTATGAGGGCAGGAACCATGTCTTGTCAGATGATGGACAGATGGGTGGAGGGATGGATGGATGAGTGGATGGGTGAGTGAATAGGTAGATGGGTGAATGGATGCACGGGTGGATGAGTGAGTGGATGAGTAGGCAGATGGAGCTCTGTTCAGGTGAGTAGGTGGGTCCCTTCCTCGGCAAGGTGGGGGGCAGGCTCTTGAGTCAGCCCGCCACCTGGTCCTCTCAGGAATGGGGAAGGAGGATGGGCTGTTCCCACTCAGAGGTTGCTCGCTGGACACCTTTCCCCCGTCCTGTCTCTTTGGCAGGCCCTGCACCTGCAATCCTGCTGGCAGCCTGGGTGTCTGTGACCCCCACAGCGGGCGCTGCCCCTGCAAGGAGAATGTGGAAGGCAGACTGTGTGACAGGTGGGTGAGCCGATCCGATAGTAAGCCTGCTGGACGTGACCTCGGGGCTTGTGGTGGGAGGAGCAGGGGCATGGTCCTCACAGACTGAGGCAACCCTGCCACCCAGCACCCTTCCTGGAGCACCATGGATCTGCCACCTGGGAAGTTATCTAAAGATTTTACGACGCTGTTTATGCTCGGACCCCCAACCGCTGATGGTTCATACGCTTTGAATAGACATCTTCTTTTTCTAGCTCAGAATCCTGAAAAGAAAGAGCCGGCAGGGATAGGAGATCATCTAACCCAGGGGTAGTGAATACGTGTGACTTGTACCGCAACCCTCCCAGCCCCCACCAGGGCAGACGTCGCTGATGAGCACAGTGGTCTATCACGAGCCCTGTTTTAACCTAGAATCCTTCTCTACACCCTGCTCCAAGAAGCTCCTACCAATCCAGCTGAGATTCAAGCCTGTTTGCCATCCTATCATGGTACAAACAGAGCATCTAGAGCTCAGGGAGGCGGGACTGTCCAGAGCCACGCATCCGTAATCTTCCTCCGCACGTGTTTGGGGGCCTCCTAACTCCAGCAGTGGGCTGGCAGGTCAGCGTGTTTACCTGTCAGGACACACAGTGTCTCCTCTTCCTGGCTTTGTCTCTGACGTCCAAAGCCCTTTGCAGCCAGCGCGGGGTCTGTCTGGGACTCTGCTTCTCTGGCCACGGGCCGTGTATGCGACGTACCTGACACAGCATTACGTTGTGGACTGTCTCCCCTTGGCGGTCTGTGCTGGGCCTGTGCCAGTGCCAAAGCTGTGAGGCTGGCCCTGGCCTTGACTCTCTCCATGGCCCACCTCAGGCTGCCCCCACGCCTTGTCCAGCCGTGGGCTGTGGGCCCTGGGGTGGGAGGTGGACCCCCCCTGCTCCATCTTCCCCGCCCCAACTCTGAGGCCCTTCAAACCCAGAGCGGAGTCAGGGAACCAGATCCCAGCCGGGGCTCCCCACCACTTCACACCCTCCGAGCCTCAGGCTGCCCATTCATGAGGAGATGTCACGGGAGTCCGCCGGGCATCGGGTCACCAGCAGTTTACGAATCGGATTCCTCAACCTGAGTGGCTCGGATGGAGCCCCCACCTCTACCCTTGCCCCCAAGTGCAAACCAGGGGTCTGTATTTGTTAAGCACCTCTCCAGGGCCCCGTGGAGCAATGGCTGATGCTAGGGCTGGGGTGTGGAAAATGCCAGATGAGTTGAGAGCATCTTGTGCCAGAAAGCAAGGAAGTGCGTCAAAAAAAAACAGACCAAAAAAAAAAACAAACAAAAAACAACCCACCCAACTCAGGATTGGGGTCAGTGTCAAGAGGACACAAGAGCCAACTTAAAAGTTTCCAAACCTGGAACAATTTGAACAACAAAATAAATAATGACAGTATTGGATTATAACCCGAAGAATAAAGTAAACATCCACGAGTCCACACTGATATAAATAGATGAGTAAATAAATAAATACACGGAGACAAAGGGACAAATCTTCCTTGCAGAAGAATTCCAAATTATAAACGTAGAAGGAATGAGGGAAATATAAAATCACTGTTCGAATTTCAGAGTGACCATGGCTATCGGTAGGCACCGCTGATTAATGCTGAAATTAGAGGTCTGGATTTAGTGACTTGATTTTAACGACGAGAGTGTGGCAGTTCCGCAGTGGAGACACCCGGCGGGCAGACCGTTCACCAAGCAGTGAAGGCGACGTGGGCATCATTCACCCCGACGAGGGGCACTTCACCCCTATTTCTTCCCCAAACCCACAGGCTCAGTCTAATCATGAGAAAACAAACACAAAGTGTGGGACGTTCTACAGACTGCACTCGATCCGTACTCTTCACAAGTGTCGGGGTCGGGGAGAGGGAGAAGCTGGTACAGATGGGGTTGAGGGGGGCGATTAAGGACACGGCGAATGTCCTGGATGGGACGCTGGAGCAGCAACAGACGCTAGTGGGAAAAGGGAGACGTAAAGGCTGGAGTTTAGTAAATAACGTTAACCGATGCGAAGTTCTTGGTTTCGATCACCCTGCCATGGTAAGGGCGGGTGTTAACTTTAGGAGAAGCCCGTGAAGAGGGTACGGGGAGACCCTGTACTAGCTTCTCAACTCTTCTGTAAATCTGAAAAAAAAAAATTTTTTTTAAGTTTCCCCAGTGATTCTGGGCTTGCGTGAGTCTGGCCGGGATCCTCTGGACCTCACTGGTTCACGAGGCCTGTGGGCACCGCTGGCCTCTCATTTCAGGTGTCGCCCGGGGACCTTTAACCTGCAGCCCCACAACCCGGCCGGCTGCAGCAGCTGCTTCTGCTTCGGCCACTCCAAGGTGTGTGGGGCCGCCACCCAGTTCCGGGTACACCACATCCTCTCCGACTTCTGCCAGGGTAAGAAGAGCCCCCGCAGCCACCCCCGTGGGGTCTGCTCCCAGCCCGGGGTAGCAGGCCATGCTTCTTTGGGAGCCCCTGACATGGTGGTGGGCGTGGGGAGGAGGGGCGGCCTCAGGCCCCAGCCGAGGCGGC